ACCTGATATGTTAGATTAAGCACTTCCCCGAAACACTGTGCGTGTTAGTGGCTTTGCAAGAATGTAAAAATATCACTAATGTAATCTCACCAACCATTGTACCTTCTTGTAAATAATTTATTATTATTAATTATTAATTATTAATTATTATTATTATTATTATTATTATTATAGTATCATTACTTGCAGGTCCCATCTTAGTGGTTTACGCCTGTTTCAATGTACTACTGTATACTGTAACCCATATGGTGCCAATTATGCCCTGTGTTATTGGCCAGTGCCCAACACCCCATGTATAGTATGTGTATATGGTTTTCACTACTCTATATGAGTGAAGTTTAACAGTTAAACCAACCACCAATTAAACAGTATCAAGCATTATGTGAATTATGTGATTTATCAAGTTACTGTATTCAACCAACTTGTCCTCTTACAAAAAAACGTTGATTTTCAGTCGTATGCGTTACTTAAGGCCAAAACTTGAACATGAAAATGGAAGCGGCTCGCAAAAGTGACATACTGTCCTGTTTTCTGTTTTGGGTCTTCTGGTAGGTTAGGAGAGGACACTTTAAATTGACTTTTCTTATCGATGGGAAACCTTAGGAGGACAGGGCAATTCAACACACATTCTTGTAAATGTGTTGAATAAAGCGAAACTAGTGATAAACAATCAATGAAACATCCGAGTAGAACACAGGAGTCGTGTTTCACACACTTCAGTGTCAGTAAAGTCGGCATCATGTGCTGACAGAAGCTAGACCACATAGCTATTGTGCAACCTGCTTTTGTTATATTTTGCATACAAATTAATAATTCTATAATAAAAAATAATTTGTAGGAATTTTTTGTATTTTTTGCTCAAAGGTGGGCACAAGTATTTTTCCATCACAGCTGTCCAAGGGTTAAGTAACACACCGAGAAATTTATAACTGCTTCTACAATACAAACAAGGCTACCTTGCGGTTACCTTGCGGTTACCTTGCGATGTTTTCAGGGCTCAATGTCCCTGCGGCCCTGAAAACATACGTTGCAAGAGTATAGATTGTTGGAGCCCCGTGAATTTAAGGAAACTGACACCAGAGCTTTCTCCCATTGCACTCCTAGATTGTGTAACAGACTGCTGAAGGATATCAAATGCAGTGAAACAATTTTTCAAGATGAAATTAAAGACCTTATTCAGAATCTCTTATAATATTAGGGACATGACAATTACTGATGAGTTCCATGTGTGAAGTACATAGACCATCTGTGCAGTCATTACAAATGGATACAAATTTACATACTGTGTGACTACAAACAATCGAGAATTCCGGGTTCGAATCCCAAGCGAGACAGAAATGGTTGGGCACATTTCCTTTCACCTAATGCATCTGTTGACCTAGCAGTGAGTAGGTACTCGGGAGTTAGTCAGCTTGTGGTCAGGTTGCATCCTGGGCGGGGTCAGTAATACGGCCTGAGGAAGGGGGGTCCTCGATATGAGCTAACTGTGAATGAATACACTCTGGCTTCCGGTCCCTCGACACAATGAATTATTATTATACTTATTACTATAAACATTGTGGGCTGTCCAAGAAGATATCATGAAGAAGGCCAAAAACTACTAAACCCTTTAAATTAACAAGTAAACCCCTGCCCTCGACAAACTACCGACCTTCCTCGGAATGCAACCTACCAACTCCTGGGTATCTATTTACTGACAATTGAACAGAGGTTTCAGGTAAAAGGTAACATTACCTAGTGTGTTTCGGGAGATTTTTCTAACCCCCCCGAGCCCAGCCTGAGGCCAGGCTCGACTTGTGATAACTTGGTCCAACAGGCTATTGCTTGGAGTGGCCTGCAGGCCCACATATCCACTACAGCCAATGGGAATCAAACACAGGACCATTCAGCTGTGAACAAACTTTTTTTTTATTATTATTATTATTTTCTACCACTATTTTATTCTATTTTCAACCATACGTGGCCACACAGTTACAATGCTGAGTGGACAGTGCTTGGGATTCGTAGTCCTGAGGTTCCGGATTCGATTCCCGGTGGAGATCGAAACAAATGGGCAGTTTCTTTCACCCTGATGTTTCTGTTTATCTAGCAGTAAATAGTTACCTGGGAGTTAGACAGCTGCTATGGGCTGCTTCCTGGTGGTATGTAACAAAAAGGAGGCCTGGGCGAGGACCGGGCCGCGGGGACGCTAAGCCCCGAAATCATCTCAAGATAACCTGTGGCCCCACAATACAAAAGAAGAGAAAATTAGCATCCAGTTTCATTGTGCACCAAGCGTCCTGACACATTACGGAAGTCTCCTGGCAAATGATTATTTATACGGTGGTACTGTCAGCCACGAGGTTTACAAACGCCTTTTTTCTGAAACTGTCTTATCCGATTTGGGTTAGTTCGGATAAAAAGTTCAGGCGGGGCAGGCAGTCTGAATAAAAATGACAATAACGATGACACTAGTTTGCCTAGTGACCGTAGACAGCACCACTTGAGCAGTGTTCATACACTAATGGATGGCTCGGAGGCTTTAAACTCTGCCATGGCATTATCTGATTTTTACTCAGCAGTGAATGGAACTATTAGGGGAAAATGCCAAGGCACTATGCCTATATAGCACTTGGAAAGGGTCAGGATAAGGATTTCGGGTGAGATGGGGGGGTGGGGAGAGTAATGGTGTCAAACCACTTGGACAGTCGGGGATTGAACGCCAACCTGCATGAAGCAAGACCATCGCTCTACCGTCCACACCAAGTTTTTTTTTTTTTTTTTTTTTTGGTTGGGAACAAACAATTTTGAAGGTCGTATTCCAGGGAAAATTAAGATAAAGGACCTGCCCAAAAGACTGTGCGTGTGTTAGTAGCTTTGCAAGAATATAAGAACACCAATATTATGGACTCCCACAAACCCAATGTACCTTCTTGTACATAAATAAATTAATAAATAAATTAAATAGAGTTCTGTCAGAGTATTTACAGTGTTGGCAAGCAGGGTTCTTTACAGTGTAGGCAAGCAGGGTTCTTTACAGTGTAGGCAAGCAGGGTTCTTTACAGTGTTGGCAAGCAGGGTTCTTTACAGTGTTGGCAAGCAGGGTTCTTTACAGTGTTGGCAAGCAGGGGTCTTTACAGTGTTGGCAAGCAGGGTTCTTTACAGTGTTGGCAAGCAGGGGTCTTTACAGTGTAGGCAAGCAGGGTTCTTTACAGTGTTGGCAAGCAGGGTTCTTTACAGTGTTGGCAAGCAGGGGTCTTTACAGTGTTGGCAAGCAGGGTTCTTTACAGTGTAGGCAAGCAGGGGTCTTTACAGTGTAGGCAAACAGGGTTCTTTACAGTGTTGGCAAGCAGGGGTCTTTACAGTGTTGGCAAGCAGGGTTCTTTACAGTGTTGGCAAGCAGGGGTCTTTACAGTGTAGGCAAGCAGGGTTCTTTACAGTGTAGGCAAGCAGGGTTCTTTACAGTGTTGGCAAGCAGGGTTCTTTACAGTGTAGGCAAGCAGGGTTCTTTACAGTGTAGGCAAGCAGGGTTCTTTACAGTGTTGGCAAGCAGGGGTCTTTACAGTGTTGGCAAGCAGGGTTCTTTACAGTGTTGGCAAGCAGGGGTCTTTACAGTGTTGGCAAGCAGGGGTCTTTACAGTGTTGGCAAGCAGGGTTCTTTACAGTGTTGGCAAGCAGGGTTCTTTACAGTGTTGGCAAGCAGGGGTCTTTACAGTGTTGGCAAGCAGGGTTCTTTACAGTGTTGGCAAGCAGGGGTCTTTACAGTGTTGGCAAGCAGGGGTCTTTACAGTGTAGGCAAGCAGGGGTCTTTACAGTGTAGGCAACCAGGGGTCTTTACAGTGTTGGCAAGCAGGGGTCTTTACAGTGTTGGCAAGCAGGGGTCTTTACAGTGTAGGCAAGCAGGGGTCTTTACAGTGTTGGCAAGCAGGGGTCTTTACAGTGTTGGCAAGCAGGGTTATTTACCCTGTGAGAGAAAATGCATCAACTGCTGTCTCTTCTGCATTGTAAATTGTTCAGCTTGAAGTTGTAGCTCCTTGTGAGCATTACATTAAACCTTTAAACAAGATGGCTGCATTATAGTCACATTTTTATATATATTTTTTTATTTGTATATACAAGAGTCGTTACATTCTTGTACAGCCACTAGCACGCATAGCGTTTTGGCCAAGTAATTAATCCCAATTCTCCCCAGAATACGACCCGCAAAATCGTTTAACAATCAGGTGCCCATTTTACTGCTGGGTGAACACAGGCTACAGTTAAGGATTGATGCCCAGTAAATCCTCCTTGGCCCGGATACGAACCCAGAAAAAAGCACTCACGAAACGCCAACGAAACTAAATTTCCTCCAAGGCTCGACGAGACACGCCCCATCGTGTGCGATTTGCAGCGTTGTTAATCACGAGGCCCACAACACCTTCCAGCACACGAGGCGAGACACGGCGGCATGTTTCAGTACAATGTGTTGCCAGCGGTGCTACGTCATGCCCACCTTGGGCACAGCCACCTGGCAGCGTTGCCAGTGACAACTCTGCTCTTGACCCACTGCCTCACTCCTGCCAAAACTGCATAAAGCTCACCATTTCTCCACACCTGTCAAGAAGGGAGAAACTGGTCTGCCTTGGGGTCAGGTCTGGCCCCCAGCCGAGTGCCCTGCCCACACCTGCCCAAGTATCCTCTCCCTCCAGACACGATATTATCCCCCCCAAAACACCCACTCGAGTGACTTATAAACTTGGAGGTGGTACCATAGAGGTGCTATAACTGAGCCCAGGACCTGCCTACGGCCCCACAAGCCCCTTGAGGGTCAGGTCTGGTGCCCAGCCCAGTGCCCACACCTGCCCTAGTATCCTCCCCGACACGATATTATCCCCAAAAGCCTCCACTTGAGTGACTAGTAAAGGTGTAGGTGGTGGGTGTGAGGCGGTGTACCTGAGGCCAGGCCTCACCACGGGCGCCCTATAACCCCGCCACCATAACCCCGTGAGCCTCACCCACCAGGCGGGAGTGACGGTGCTCACCTTAGCACGCAGCGGTCAGGTCCAGTCAGCCAGGGCACACTTAGACAGCCATTCCGTTCCTGTCAGCAGTTCTCGGGGCTCTCCTCCTCCTCCCAGCTTGAATCATAAACAAAGTAGTTCCCCGGGGCCAGGGTGGGCGCCGCCCTCCACGCCCACGCTCCACGCCGCCCACGTCACCGCCAACCACCTCAATAGCAACAATTCTCAAAGTGGAGGTGAAAATGTGGAGGTGAAGTTGTGTGGGGGAAGGTTGAGGGTTGATGTGTATCCCTCCGCCCTGGCCAGACCGGGTCAGAAGACTGGCGGCATGCACGCGCCGGTGTGGGCACCTGTCAACTCCCTCCACTACCACCCCTCCCTCCACCCCTCCACCTGTCAACTCCCTCCACTACCACCCCTCCCTCCACCTGTCAACTCCCTCCACTACCACCCCTCCCTCCACCCCTCCACCTGTCAACTCTCTCCACTACCACCCCTCCCTCCCTCCACTACCACCCCTCCCTCCCTCTACCTGTCAACTCCCTCCACTACCACCCCTCCCTCACTCCACCTGTCAACTCCCTCCCTCCACTACCACCCCTCCCTCCACCCCTCTACCTGTCAACTCCCTCCACTACCACCCCTCCCTCCACCCCTCTACCTGTCAACTCCCTCCACTACCACCCCTCCCTCCACCCCTCCACCTGTCAACTCCCTCCACTACCACCCCTCCACCTGTCAACTCCCTCCACTACCACCCCTCCACCTGTCAACTCCCTCCACTACCACCCCTCCCTCACTCCACCTGTCAACTCCCTCCACTACCACCCCTCCCTCCACCCCTCTACCTGTCAACTCCCTCCACTACCACCCCTCCCTCACTCCACCTGTCAACTCCCTCCACTACCACCCCTCCCTCACTCCACCTGTCAACTCTCTCCACCACCACCCCTCCCTCACTCCCTCTACCTGTCAACTCCCTCCACTACCACCCCTCCCTCCCTCCCTCCACCTGTCAACTCCCTCCACTACCACCCCTCCCTCCCTCTACCTGTCAACTCCCTCCACTACCACCCCTCCCTCCCTCCACCTGTCAACTCTCTCCACCACCACCCCTCCCTCCACCTGTCAACTCTCTCCACCACCCCTCCCTCCACCTGTCAACTCCCTCCACTATCCCTCCCTCCACCTGTCAACTCCCTCCACCTGTCAACTCCCTCCACTACCCCTCCCTCCACCTGTCAACTCCCTCCACCACCCCTCCCTCCCTCCACCTGTCAACTCCCTCCATGAGCTCCCTCCCTCCACCAGCCCTCCACCACCTCTCCACCCAGCTCCCTACCTCCACCCAGCTTCCTCCACCAGCCCTCCACCAGCCCTCCACCCAGCTTCCTCCACCAGCCCTCCACCCAGCTCCTTCCATCTGTCAACTCCCAGTCCCTCCCTCCACCACCCCTCCCTCCCCCCACCTGTCAACTCCCAGTCCCTCCCTCCACCACCCCTCCCTCCCCCCACCTGTCAACTCCCAGTCCCTCCCTCCACCACCCCTCCCTCCTCCACCCCTCCCTCCCCCCCACCTGTCAACTCCCAGTCCCTCCCTCCCTCCACCTGTCAACTCCCAGTCCCTCCCTCCCTCCACCTGTCAACTCCCTCCACTACCCCTCCCTCCACCTGTCAACTCCCTCCACCTGTCAACACCCAGCTCCCTCCCTCCCTCCACCAGCTACAAGGGGGCATGAGTTCCAAATATGCAATAAATGAAAACTGGTTCGATTTCAATCACAGTTTGTTAACGAGTTGTATAGTAAAAGTGTTTCACCTGGTCCAAGTCTCAGCATCGTAGCAGAAATTGTTTACATTCCTAGTTCCCATTAAGTTTTTTTTTACTTAAAATTACCTATTTACAGTCTCCGTGGTGTAGTGGTAAGACACTCGCCTGGCGTTCCGCGAGCGCTATGTCCTAGGTTCGTATCCTAGCCGGGGAGGATTTACTGGGCGCAAATCCTTAACTGTAGCCTCTGTTTAACGCAACAGTAAAATGTGTTCTTGGTTGTAACAACGATTCTTCGCGGCGGGGATCGTATTCCAGGGACCTGCCCGAAACGCTACGCGTACTAGTGGCTCTACAAGAATGTAACAACTCTTCTATATATCTCAAAAAAAAATTAAGTTTATATTACTTTAGAATTTTTAATCTACTTTTTTCTTTGTTTTCTATTTTGTAATTTGCCATTCTTGCCTTGTTTTCCTGCAATCAGCCTTTTTATGCAGACAAGTATAGACCCAGAACTAAACCTCTTATCCTCTATCTATGACAATCATCACTTTAATGATCTAAATTGCAGATATTTTACAGCACATGATGTAAACAATGTATTAACACATAATCACAATATCTCTGTAATCAACTTGAACGTTAGATCCCTAGGTAAACACTTCGATGATGTTAGTGCCTTGATTGAAACTATTGACAACAAATTCTCTTTTATTATACTTACTGAAACATGGTTGAAAGAGGATACTACTCAACTCTTTAACATGCCTAACTACTCGGCAATTCACAACTGTCGTCAACTTCAGAGAGGTGGTGGCACTGCTCTTTACTAGTTTTTTTTTTTTAGTTTAGTTCATTTATTATGCACCCCATACCCATCTTGTGGGCGGTAGTGGAAAGGGTTACAGAGGCACATAATGGGCTCGGGGACTGAACCCCACAATTCATTTAGCTAAGCAAGTTACAATCTTGATGAGCTAGTTACAAAATTCAATATAAGTCGTCACATCAACTGTTGCTCTTTACTACCACCAAGAACTAACATGCTTAAAAGTAATTAGAACTAGAGACTACTGTGGGGAGTATATCTTTGCCAGTTTCAGAGTCAAGGGTGCCGAGTCTGTCCTGTCTGTGGGTGCAGTCTATAGAATTCCTAACACTGATGTGTCCGAATTCAACTCAAACCTTAGAAATCTAATACTCGATAACAGACTGAACAAAAACCATCTAATTATCGCAGGGGACTTCAATATTGACCTCTGCGAGCCAGAACACCCTACTGCTGTTAGCTTCCTCAACTGTATGAATTCCTGCTTCCTCATACCCTTAATCACTAGACCTACTAGAATCACTGATAGTACTGCTACGACTCTAGATCACATCTGGACCAACATAACCTCTCCGCTTACTTCAGGTATAATCACCGATAGCACTACAGACCATTACCCACATTTCTCTTAACTAACATTAACAAACCACCTCTTGAGTCAAGGGAGTTAAGCTTTAGGCTGCACAAAGAAACTGCTATAAAACAATTTTATAACTGCTGCTGATAATGTCAACTGGGAGTCCGAGTTAGGTAACATAGGGGACATCAACCTAGCAGTGCAATCTTTTCTTCAAACAACTCTTAGCCTTTATAACACCCACTGTCCTATGCTTACAAAACAAGTCACAACCAAAAGGCTTAACAATCCTTGGCTTACAAAGGGAATACTTAAATCCATTAATAAAAAACATGACCTTGAGAAGAAGTATAGGTTAGGAATTGTCTCCAAAGAATTCTCAAAGAATTACTCGTTATTGCTATCTAAAATAATTAGACGAACCAAAACTAAATACTATGAAGATAAATTTACCCAAATAAAGAGCAACATTAAAAAAAACTTGGAGCACAATTTCACAAATATTGGGATCAAAGAAGATTTTAAATAACAAACCAACACTCCTTTCCAATAACGATGGTCAGCTTTCAGCCTCTGATTCTGCTATTGAGTTCAATAGGTTCTTCTCTTCCATTGGGTCATCCCTTGCAAATGATATTCCATCTTCCTGTACTGATGTTCAGGACTATCTTACAGGTAACTATCCACAGTCTCTGTACCTAAAGCCTACTAATTCCACTGATGTCAATGAGATAATCCTTTCCCTTAAAACCAAGTCTAGTGCCCTTGAGGAGATACCAACTTTAATTTACAAAAAAGCCTCCAGATCTTTAGCCCCTGCTATTGCTTTGCTCTTCAACAAGTCACTTGAACTCCAAACCTTTCCAGACATTCTAAAAACAGCGAGAGCAGCCCCTGTACACAAATGTGGTGATCTCACAGATGTGAGATCACCACATTTACTACATGGTACTAGACATTTACTACATTGATATAGGTCTGTCAACTACAGACCTATATCAATCCTGCCTAACTTGTTAAAAGTATTTGAAAAATTAATCTACAAGCAGCTTTACTCTAATCCTCTAATCTAAATCTAAATCTAAATCTAAATCGAAATCCTCTAATCTAATCTAAATCCTCTAATCAAATAAATCTCAAAATAAACAATACCCAAATTTGTAACAAATTAGATGGCAAATTCCTTGGCATTCTCATTGACCACAAGCTGAATTTCCAGGGACACATTCTAAATATATCAAAAAAAGTTTCAAAAACTGTGGGCATTCTTTCTAAGATCAGATATTATGTACCACGCCCTGCCCTGGTGACTCTCTATTACTCCCTTATCTATCCATATCTCAACTATGGTATTTGTGCTTGGGGTTCTACTACCCAAAATCACTTACGTCCTCTAATTACTCAACACAAAGCTGCTATTAGGACAATATCCAATTCTGGCCCCAGACATCACTCGGTACCCCTACTCAAGTCCCTGAATATGCTAGACATTAAGTCACTGCACATTCTCTCATGTGTATTATACATATATAAAACACTAAACTATAATGCCAATCCTGATCTAAAAAGCTTCATAAAAGGTTGTAACAGAACCCATGAGCACCACACCAGAAATAAATACAGTTTTGATATTCCTAGAGTACGACTTAGTCAAACTAGAAATGCTCTACAAATCAAGGGACCCAGAATGTGGAATGACCTTCCCAACCATGTTAAAGACTGTACCTCTCTCAACCAGTTTAAGATAAAAACGAAGCTATACCTAATAAATTCCCTGTAACCTACCTTACCCTTCTATTGTCAACCCATGTCTGTTTTTTTTTTAAAGAGCGCTGTTTGTCGACATAATTGTATTTGTGCTGCTTTTTCAGCTATGTTTTCACTTTTTGTTTTCATTCTACTCATTATACTCAATTAGTATTAAGCTTGTCATTTAAGTTTATCATGCCCGAAACGCTTTGCGTAATAGTGGCTTTAGGCATTGTATGTACTAGCTCTACCTATAAGTCAACCAATCTTTGTAAAAATTTATTGTATGTATGTACCTTACCTAAATAAACATTTTATTTTATTTTATTTTTTTATTTTACTCTTTTCTAGCCAAACACAATATACTTAGCTCTTGTCAATATGGCTTCAGACCCCAAAAAAAGCACTAA